CGAAAAATTCTTGCAGCTGGCATGGTCGATCGTTTAGCCAAGTAAATTATAATATTTTTGTTTTCATCAAAAAACAAAAATTCAATATATTTTTAGACGAATAGAAGGACCTGTCGTGGTTAATGGTCATAAAGCAAATAATGCTTATCAAGTAATTTAAATAGAAGAATTTTTATTTGAAAAAAATGTATATATATATTTCTAGACACTTTTACTTGAAGAACCAGTGTTTATACATCCATCATCTGTTCTTGTCAATGATTTACCAACATTTATCTGTTATCAAGAATTACATGAAACAACTCGAATATTTATTAAAGGTAATTTTTCTTTTTTCGAATAATTTTTTTTGTTTTTATTAATATTTAATTAGATATTTGTGGTATTCAAATGGATTGGATTGTTCAATTGAATCCACATTTATGTTCATTTGGTCCAATTGAAGATGAACCATGTCCACGTTATGATGAAATTCAAGATAAAATGGTTTGTCATCGTAAAGCAACTATTGGTCAACGAGTATCATGGTCACTTGGTCCATCAATTGAAACTGTATTTCCACTAGATACAATCGATCGTTTTCGTTGGTTTGGAAAATATTTTCTTGATGGTATTATATGTCCACGTTTATTACAATTTCATCCAGCTTTATTATGTTCATCAAATGCAATGGTTAAATCTTGGGCATCACTTATGGAACGAACACAAAAATTTCTCAATGCACTAGTAGCAAAACAAATTGATAATCGAACTCAATTAATAGAAATTTGGTCAGCAGAACCACAATGTATGAGAAAACAATTTTTTTTTTCTAAATTTAATATTAATTTTTTTTCTGTTTAATTAAGATTTACTTGATATTTATTGTACTTGGTTACCGGAATCATTACATACACAAGTCAGATCTGTCTGGCCACCAATACCGAAATAAAAAAAAGCATAAATAGTTTTAAGTTTAAATATAAATCAGACAAGTATTGTTAAGGATGATTTGTTATTCTTTCTTGTTTTTTGTTTTTGTTTGATTGTTTTTGTCATCTATTGTTATGATGAATTTCTTAAAATTGTAGATAAATTCAACATGCCACGTATTGATAATGATATAAAACTTGATTTTAAAGATGTTTTAATACGTCCAAAACGTTCAACATTAAAAAGTCGAGCTGATGTAGATTTAACACGCGAATTTATTTTTCGTCATAGTAAAAAAACTTATGAAGGTATACCTATTATTGCATCGAATATGGATACAGTTGGAACATTTGAAATGGCAATACAATTGTCAAAAGTAATGAAATTTATATTTCAAAAAAAAATATATATTCATAATTTTTTATTTTTCTTCAGTTGAAATTATTTACAACTATTCATAAGCATTATTCAGTTGATCAATGGAAACAATTTGCTGCTGAAAATACTGGAATACTTCAAGTAAAAATTGACAAAAAAAGCAAAAATAATTTCATTATTATCATATTTATTTAGAATGTTGCCATTTCAACTGGTATGACAGAAAATGATTTTAAAAAATTACGGTATGTTTAATAGTTCTATTAGGATTCAAGTATTTCTTGAAATGTATAACCCTTTCCGGCCGGATGTTGCCTAATGACGACATTTTTATCACTTGTAAATTCTTTTACTTTTTCAAATTTTATCACGTCGTTCTTATCGTCATGAAATGAGTGCAAAATAGCGACCTGATAGATAAAATGTGAATACTCTTTGTTTTCTTCTAGGGACGTTATTAATGCTATACCAGACCTTGGTTATATCTGTGTTGATGTTGCAAATGGTTATTCGGAACATTTTGTTGAATTTGTTCGACTTGTTCGAAAAGAATTTCCTGATAAAACAATATTTGTAATTAGAAAATTTTGTTTCTTACAGTTTGAAAAGTGGTTTTTTTTGTTTGAATAGGCTGGAAATGTTGTGACATGTGAAATGGTTGAAGAACTTATTCTTAGTGGAGCGGATATAGTAAAATGTGGAATAGGACCAGGTAGTGTATGCACAACTCGTTTGAAAACAGGTGTTGGTTATCCACAACTTTCATGCATTCTTGAATGTGCTGATGCTGCTCATGGTCTTGGTGGACATATTGTTAGCGTAAGTTAATGATTATTCTTGTAAGAAGATATAATAATGAGAATAATTATATAGGATGGTGGTTGTACAAGTCCCGGTGATGTTGCTAAAGCATTTGGAGCTGGTAAGTTTAACAAAATAAGAATATAGATCTTTATAGTAAGAGAAAAATGATTGTGTAGGCGCTGATTTTGTTATGCTTGGTGGTATGCTTGCTGGTCATGATGAAAGTGGTTCCGGTGAAATAATTGAACGTAATGGACGTAAATTTAAACTTTTTTATGGAATGTCATCAAAAACTGCAATGGATAAACATGTAAGAAAATTATTTTTACTGAATTTAATAACAAAACCTTTTGTCATATACATCAAAAGATGTTAAAACTGATTGAATAATAAAGCATGTCGTAGGAACACCTAGCAATGCTCGTTAAGAACTATCAATCCATATAAATGACAAGCAAAATAGTGGAAGGGTTTCATACTTAACAAATAGACATATGTTTTTAATTCTACCGTAATTTCAAGGTTGATAAAATCAGACGAACATAGTACCTCTTGGCTTCATATTCATGACAATGAACCAATAGATAACTTATATCAGTATGACTATTGTATAGTAACCCGGATATGCACAATATGAACTAGATTGTATCATTGACATATTTTCATGTATACGAAGGATCAGAATTTAATTGTTTATAATACTTCGGGAATAAAAATATTTATCTTTTAGTCGGGTGGTGTTGCTGAATATCGAGCATCAGAAGGTAAAACGGTTGAAGTACCTTATCGTGGTTCTTGTCTTAATACAGCACAGGATATATTAGGTAAATATATATATATATGTTTGTCTATATAAATACTTATGTATAATTTATAGGCGGAGTTCGTAGTTGTTGTACTTATGTGGGTGCTAGTAAATTAAAAGAACTCAGTCGTCGTACAACATTTATTCGTGTCAGGTAATTGATAAATCTTTTTCTTTTTTTTCAATTATTTCTATGGTTGTTTTTTTTTAGTCAACAATTGAACGAAGTATTCTCTCCGAATACCGTACAAGGTTAATCCCGATCGATCACTACCGGTTTTTTTTCTTCACTATCTCTCTCTCTCTCTCTCTCGTTTTTTTCATTATAGTAACAGTAGATGAAGCAATTTGAATAAAACATGCATGTTGTCTTCTCCTTTTTTCTTTTCTTTTTCTCTATCTATTCAACTATTTGTTCATGTTCAATGTAGAAGAGAGATCAGTCATTGAACAATGTAAATAATCATAGACAAAAGAACGAAAGTAAATAGACAATTCGTACAGAAGTAAAAGATGTTATGTCGACAAGAGTTCATGTTATTATTTCTAACCTTTATATTAATTTTACCATTATATGCTGAACGAAAATCATCTTTTCGAAATACATTTTCATGTTTTAAATGTACACATCATGATAAACCACAAGAAATTAAAGAAGCAGCATGTATGAAAAAATTTGATTCAAGTAAATATACACATGAAGAATGTCAAAGTGAAAATGGACCAGGTAAATGTCTTAAATCGTATGAAAAAACTGAAGCACGTACAAAAAAACAAATTGAAGAAGATGAACGATCTGTAACAATACGAAAATGTGTATCACAAGGTGAACTTGATTTTTTAAAAAATGTACGAAATATTGATACAAGTGATGGATGTCATACAATGCGTTCAACTAAAACAAAACATAAAGTTTATTGTTTTTGTTCAAATAATTTATGTAATAAAGGAAAAAAATATGTGTCACTATCAATAGTTACATTGTTTTTTTGTATGTTTTTTTTAAAAATATATATTTAAAGAATATTTTTCGAATTCTCTCACGAACTTAAAAATTCCATTTATGTGCTGAATGATTTCATTACAAAAACATAGTTTCTGTTTGTTTTTGTGTTTGTTATTTTAAACACAAAAAAAATGTGTTGTTAAGTTTATGCAAATCAGTTTGAGTGAGAAATAGAAAGAATAAGTACAACGTTAATCATGGCATCAACACATCGAGTAATAGGATTATGAAATTGTATAATTAATTTAATATAAATATATTTAGACAGCTCGTACTCATGGTGAAAGTACGAAACATAGACCATTACATGATATGATATTAGCAAGAAGAAGAGGACAAAAGAAAGTATTTTTAACAAATTCACAAAAATCAGTCTTCGAATTACACGGAGAAGATGAAAATCAGAAGCCGCCACCATATACATATTACACGACAATAAGATATGATAGCAATAATATACCTGCAGAGAAAAATACTCCAAGAAAACCTGTAAAACAACAACCAAGTCCACAACCTTCTATTCGACATCAAGAACCGTCTCAACTTAATCATAAACCAATACCCGTGCCACAACCAGTGCCTGTACAAAAACGAACACCTGTACCACAACCAGTGCCTGTAGCAAAACCAACACCTGCAGCAAAACCAATACCTATAGCACAACAAACTACACCAGTACCTCATAAAACTGTTGAAATAGCACCGAAACAAGTTGTAAATAAGAATCCTCCTACTCAACCAGCTGTGCCTGTTACTAAACAACGTGTAGAAGTGGTTTCACAATCTGTTCAACGACAGACAGTTAATGCAAAAGTAGCGGAGATAAAACAAGAACGAAGACCTGTTAAATTTACTGATTCAAATCAACCGCAAGTAGAACAACAACATGCTGAACCACAAAATCTAACACATGTTCCTGTTAATAATTCTACTCGAAAAGGAGCTGTAGAAACTCTAGTTAATTCAGTTGTGATACAACCAAATGGTAATAAACCAAAACAACAAAAATAAATTTTCATTTCATATAAAATGAAATACATATAAATATATTCTTATTTAAATAATCATTTAGGATGAAATAACTAATGATCTTTTTTTTTCATATGTTAAAAAATAATCTGAAATTCTATTTCTTATTAACATGCATTTAATATATGAAATAAATAAGCAATCCTTTCAATAAACTGACTTATAAAATCATTTACACATTGTATCAATTCTATCGATAATATAAATGTATTCATTTATTCATTTAATACAGTATTAGTATGTATTATATACCCGTTCATGTGACGTCATATATGTATTTTTAAGATAAGCATCAGCCAATAATCATATAATACGATTATTACATATATATTATATGTCTAATTTTGCAATATATAGGATTTAATATTTATATATTCAATGTATAAATTACATATCAATTACTAATGATTTAATAATATTGCTCAAGAACTGAGCGTCATCTTTCGTTAAGAAGAATCTAACTGGTCTATCGATGTATCAAGTTTTTACTAAAACTGATAGCGTTCCGTCGGGAGAAGAAATATGTAAAAGAATATTTTTGAAGATTGATGGCAAACCATGACGATTCTAATACACAACACGAAAATACGGAAAATATTAATTTGAATGATGGTAAATTGTCTAATAAATGATACTAATTTTTTATTAAAGAATTCTATGAATATTTATAGATGATCGTGTTCGTCGTCTTGGTTCATCAATTCTAAATCTACTTCCAACTGAAAGAGCGTCGCATCGTGATCGACAAACTTTTCGTCAAGCATTTGTTCATTCTGCAGCTATTCTATTTGTTTTAGTATGCGGTGCATGTGCTCTACTTGCTTATCGTGTATTAGAACCATTCCTTCGTAGTATATTATGGTCAATATTAGCCGGTGCATTTTTATTTCCATTTAAGAATCATTTAACATCAACAGCACGTCAAAATTTACGACAATTAGATACAGATTCGCATTTATTATTTTATGGTTTAGTTATACTTTTACCATTACGAACAATTGATAGAACAATTGAATCGATTGGTCCATTATTTATACGTAAATGGAAAGAATTATTAATAATTATTATATTTTTACCAACAATTGAATTGCTGCAAACAGGTGTTGTTTATCTTTGGGTAATATCAATTACAGATGATATTACAAGCATAGTTGTAAAACTTGTTGAGTTTTTTGGTTCAATATGGATAAGAACCTTGATAACAACATCTGTTATTGCTTATTTAATATCTGTTTTAACTATTTATGATAGATCACCATCAATTAAAAAATCGCTTAATGTGCTTGCTGTACCTGTTTGGTTTATTTTATTAATATATTTTTCTCAATTTCTTCCGGTTACTTATCGATTAATTGTAATTATTCTATCAATTGTACTGACTGCCGTCGGTTTTATTGTAGATCTGAGAGAACATTTTGATCAAAATACTGCTCGTAAGTTTAATTTTTAATTAATTTTAAAAAAAGAATATAGAACTCGTATTTATACTAGACTAGTCTTTCTATAATCCAGATATTTTCAGTGCATATATCAGAAGTAGTTCATTTCTAAAACACCAGAAATTTTTATTAATACTCTTACTCGTAATAACATGATTCTGTACATTTTAAATATTATTATCCCGTAAGTGTGATTTCATTCTTTTCTTTCAATTGAAACACATGAAAACTATTGAATATATCATATTCATTACTGTATTTTTACATTAGCTTATTAATAAACTTGAATTATTTTAGAATCAAATTCTTCTGATGATAATCAACCTCGTAAATCAGTTTTCACTGATGCAGTTAATGTATTTAATCAAATACGAGCATATTATCATATTAAACGAGCTCAAGCTCAATTATCTGTTACATCCAATACATCAGCATTTTCTACACCTTATTTTACATTTGTACTTTGGTCTTTAGTAGCTATTAAAGTTTATCAATTTTATTGGTATTTAATAATGATTTTATTTTTTGTCATTATTTATAAAATAATAAAATGTTTATTAATTAAAACATATTTTTATTTAACAAGACAAGAAAGTGTTCAAAATGTTATTCAACAAATAACTAAATTTTTGCAAGATAGGTATGAATAATATTAAAGTTTCTTTAGATAATAAACTTTCTTTTTCTTTTTGAAATTAATTTAGACGTGATGTTTTAACTCCATCACCTTTACATGGTCTTGTTCATTTTCTTATCAAAGGTGATAAAAAATTTAATTATGGTTTACAAGAATCTATTGATTATCTTGTCAGTGCATTTATGATTGTTACATTATTTATAAGTGTTCTGTTTGGTACAATATTACTTATTATCCAAGTATTTTATTTTTTCGAAAAATTTTTCTTATATAATTTATTTTATTCAGATTCATCAAGAAAGTATACATATGATTAAATTAACAAGTAATCTTATTAATGAAACAATTGTTCTTCAACCATCATTTCAACATATGTTACCAGATCGAGAACATATGAGTCAATTAATGGATACAGCAGTGAATAATTTTTATCATGTTGGAAGAACTTGGATTGCTAAACAGGTAGATATCTAATTTAGGGATGCAACGGTGATGGTAACCGTAGGGACCGGTAAATGTTTCATCTTGAGGACGTGGGTGTGGGATGGACGTTAGTGATAGATGAAATAAATACCCACACCTACACCCTCAAGATGGAACGGCTACCGGTGAACCGGTGACTAACCGTCACCGTTGCATCCCTAATCTAGTTGTTTTCGATGGTCATTAAATTTCATATTATTCATCGTTATTTTTTCTAATCTTTAGATCAATGTATTAGATCAAGATCAGACAACAAATGCAAAACTAGAAGAAGACGTGTTACAATTATGGGATCGTTTATATACGTATATGACAAATGCATCAACATTATTTTCACCCGGTAAAAATCGTAGTTCTATTATGTATTCATCAACAAATCATTCATTATTAATACCAAATCTATTTAGTCAAATGCAAACAAATTTTGATTTTCATATCAATGATATATATAGTTTAGTACGTGATAATCTTGGTTTATTACGTACTGTTCTTGATTCAATTTGGACAAATACAACACTTTTATTAACATTATTATCAACAATAATTTCATTACTTTTTACGGGTGGTTTTGCATTATTTAATTTTTTGGTTTCATTTATTGTTTTTGTTACATTACTTTTCTATTTACTTTCACATTCGGATCAACCGATATATCGACCAACTGAATGGTTAAATAACACATTAGCTGTTGGTGAAAAAGGTTTAGGTAAAGCTATTAATGATGCAGTAACAAGTGTATTTGTTGCATCACTTAAAATTGCTGCTTTTTATGGTCTTTATACTTATGTATTACATACAATAGTTAGTTCAAATCTAGTTTTTTTACCAGCTGTTATTGCATCGATATGTGCTGTTACTTTAAAATCATATTGGGCTGCATTACCTGGATGTCTTGATTTATGGCTTGTACAACAGCGACCGCTAGGTGCTCTACTTTTATTACTCGGCCAAATTATACCAGTCTATATTGTTGATACAGCTATTTATAGTGAAGTTAAAGGTGGTGGACATCAAGTAATATTTAATGAAGATTTTTTTTCGAAAATACAATCTTGAAGTTTATTTTATAGTATTTAACAGCATTAGCTATTGCCGGTGGTGTGTATTATAGGGGTATTGAAGGGGCATTAATTGGACCGATTGTTTTATGTTGTTTATTGGTTGGTGTAAAATTATATAATGAAACAATGGCTAATACATTATCTTCAAATCATGAACAAGAACCTTCAACACCTTCATTGAGCCATACAACGAGGCCTATTATTCGTTCTCGTAGTTTACAAAGAATGTCAGTAAATTAGCTCAATGAACTTTATTGCATGTATACTATATGTTTTCTGTTATTTACAATGTTTAGTTTATTATTCAATATTTATTTTTCTCTAATCAACAATTATAGTTTAGTTGAAAATATTTGTTAGAAAAGATGAAATATCGTAAAACGATGTAGTATTTATAACAGAAGACACTATATTTCTAGTTCACAGAGAATTATACAATTTTGTTTTTGTAACTTATTTATCGCATATCAGTAAAATAATAATATTAATCTTAGTGGCATATTACGCTCTATATATATAGAAGCTTATTGAATAAAAATTATGTTTATTTAAACAACTACATCTGAATTATTATCAAATGTTCGAATGCATCATCATTCTTGCTAAATTTTTTAATACATTCTTATTAAGATTTTATTTTTCTTCATATATATACGAGATATCAAAATGAGCAGTCTTGTTTTCTTTGAATCTAATACCAACCATATGATGTTTTCATTTTACTACATACTGAGAACTTGAAGTTTTGTTTGTTTTAAACTGGGCGTGGTCGAGGCTAGCATCATAATTTTCTTCAGGCATAAATACGACGGTATGAGTTCTGATAAATCAAAACATTCCTGATTATAGGTTTTAAGAGTCAAAAAAAAGCGTTGTGGGTCTTCTCGGACTCCCAATTAGAAATATTTGTTCTACTGATTTTTTCTTTTATCTAGGTAACATTACAATTCAACTGAATATTTCTAATATTGATCACATGTGTCACTGAATTTCACAAGCTTATTTAAATTACAGATCAATTCAAAAGATTAAAGCATAGATGATGATAGATTTGATTAACTATTCAGTTTTGAAAAAAACATACTTCATCTTACTTCAAATCGTTTTTATTTTCTGTCGATACAAATAATAATTGAAATATTTCGGAGTATTTTATTATCCATTATTTTTCTTCCTAATATACAGCTATAAAATAAGTATAGAAATATGATAGATCACATAGAAGTTACCGTTAATCTGGATAGATTTCGCCCAAAAAACATTTGTAATTATACACTCGGTAAAAACAAAACTAAAAAATGTACTTTTATTAAATATTGTTTATTGTTATATCATGCACCTTTATTATTTATACTCAAAAAAATATTTTTTTTATTCTAGTATTTGTCTACTCCACATAATGTACTGAATTTTTCTTATTCGTTTGAATTAAAAAAGAACAATGCACTTAGAGGCTACTCTTATAGAATATTGCGTTAATTCAGAATTGTCCTTAAATCGCCATTTTCGAATGAAGAGAGGCGGCAACGTTGAGGTAGAAAAAACAATAAAAATATTAAAAAAAACTAACAAATTGTAAAGTGCGTAGAAACAAACTAATTTAATGCGCACGAAGAATATCAAAGGATATTTCAAGAGATGTTAATGTTTTTTGGTTATATTCTGCACGTAAAAATGGGAGAATTCTCTTAATGATCATAAAAATAAGTTAACAATTTTTTTGTTCTGTTTTTCGAATATTCTCATGTATGAACTTCAAGCGGAATGAATCACGCAAAAAATATTTTAAATATAAAAGAATCATTTATTTTTTTTTCTTCTTTTCTTTCAATGATTTTTATAGTTAAATAAGTGCAAAAAAAACAACTACTATCCTTATGAAAACAGTAGATACTTTCGATTGCATACGGTTGACGACAAGCAAAACGGAATTCTTATTTTTTTTATTTTACTCTGCATAAATACGCCCTGTTAATCGATTGCAACATACATATTAATAATTAAATATGCAGCCCTATCCAACTAATGCAGCAATGCCTGTTCGTTTTATGGTACCACCAGGATACAGACAACCTTATCCTCCATTTGTCAATCCTAACTATGATCGTTATGCTCTTAATCCAGCAGGAGCATATCGCCCACAAGGTATAACGCGTCCAGTAAATTATCCACCTTCCTATGGACCAGGAGGATATCCTCAAGGTAATAATGCTCCAACACAGTCAGTTGGAACACAGCCAGCTGGAACACAACCAGCTCAAAGGCAACAAGCTCCAATGCAACCAAATACAGTACGACCTGCTAACACTGTGACGGGTGCTAAACCTGGTACTGAAAAAAAAGGTTTTTTTAATCCATTCGGCAATAAGAAAAAAGATTCTATAGCAACAATACCTGAAGCAAAGACACCTGTTGGTAAAAAAGAATTTAAAGATACTGCATTTACAATTGATCCAGATGGTACTAAAAATGATTCAATTCGTGGTCTAGTATCCAATGATGATATTAATAATTTATTAAAACATAAAGGTACAAAAGTTAAAGTTAAGAAAATTTATCGAATTACAAAAACAAAACCAGAAGAAATAGACGATTCAAGTGATGATGATGTAAAAACTAAATCTAAACTAGCACCACCACCACCACCACCAGTTCAACGTCCACGTTCTTCTTCAACAGATAGTTATTGTTCGCAATGTGACAAAATGTCAAGTCATGTTTATGATGATTGTCCCATATGTCGTGCTCAACTACAGCAACAACAAGTCCATGTTTATGATGATTGTCCACAGTGTCGTGCAGAAGCTCAGAGACAAACACATGTTTATGACGATTGTCCTGAATGTCGTGCTGAATGGGCTAGACGACAAGGATATCAATAAATTTCATAGTTTATTTTCAAGGACACATGTAAAAAAATATTTTTTCGCTATATACATATATTATACAAATTTTTTTTTTCGAATAAAATAATTTTACTTTAATCATAACGTTAT